ACTGAGTTCAATATTGTATAACTGTATTAATTCAACTGTGAACCTAAAAATTACAGCCATTTTGAAAAAGATGTATCCTTGCTCTGGAAATTGTTATTGAATATGTTAAAGCTATAATAAAGTGCTTCTTCTAATCATGTGGTTATTAAATTTTAAAAAAGGAAAATAAAAAAGTAGTCAGTACTCTTCTGCGTACAATGTGAATGTAAAGAATTGTATGGGGCTGGAGAGATGGCTCAGTGGTTAACACACTGACTGTTCTTGCAGAAGACCCAGATTTGAATCCCAGGACCCACATGGCAGAAACAACTGTCCATAACTGCAGTTCCAGGGGATCTGACAGGCTCTTCTGTCCTCTGAGGGCATTGTATAACACAGATGCACTTACCTACATGCAGGTAATACACATACAAATAAAATAAAAATAATAAAATATTTTGAAAAAAAATTGTAATGATTACACTCTATTAGTAATCCACATATCTTTATAGAACAAAGATCTGATTTGACTCCCTAAAAAACAAAACAGAGTAACAAGTGCTCAATCTTAAAGGGGTGGTAATCAAACTGAATAAGGAGCTGGGAACATAGCTTACTCAGCTGGTAGAATGCTTGCCTAGCATACACTAAGCTCTAGGTTCAATTCCCAACCCCTGTATAAACAGCGTATGGTGGCCTATATCTGTTATCCAAGCACTTAGGAGATGGAGGCAGAAAGATCAGAAGTTCAAGACCATTCTTGGCTCTCTAGAGAGTTAGAGGCCAATCTGGGACACATAAGACCCTGTCATATATACACTCGCACACACATGAACAGGCATGCTGATATAGCTTTCAGGACAATAAAAACAGGAGCTTGGTAGGAGCTGAAGACATCTGTTAAGGTAAATGAGTAAGTTGTCTTCATATGGTCATTCTCATTTTATTGTCTAATCATTTAGTTCAGGCAAAAAGAATCATTGTGCCCCCCCCGACACAATATATTTCCTCAAGAAGCACCTCATATATAATGTCTTTTTTGTCCACTTGACCATCAGCCCAGGAGGCATCTCTAGAGCAGCTCAGAAGTGGGAAATTTCTAGGGTTAGAGCTCTAATTCAGTTGGTAGAGTGCTTGCCTAGCATGCAGGAAATGCCCCAGCACTGTATAAACCAGATACAGTAATACTAATCTCAGCACTCAGGAGGTGGAAGTAGGATCAGAAGTTCAAGGTCATCCTCAGCTACATAGGAAGTTTGAGGACAGTCTGAGCCACATGAGACCCTGTCTAAAATTTCTAGAAGGTGTCAAGAAATTCATTTTTTTGTAAGCATTGAATCTCCCAAAAAGAGACATTTGTACACAGTTTGGTAATAAAAAGTCAGAAAGAGATGCATAATAGAAAATACTGTAATAGTTAAAACCTAAAGGGACTCGTAATTTACAAAATACTGATGCTCAACAGTAGTATAAAAATTCCTTAATTTTATGATTTTGGAATTTGGTCTTTAAAAAGAGCATTATCTGGGGCTGGAGAGATGGCTCGGGAACTGAGAGCACTTGCTGCTCTTGCAGAGAACCCAGTTTCAGTCCCCAACACCCACACGGTTAACAATAGTCCTCAGCTCCAGTTCCAGGGAATCTGATGTGATGCCCTCCTCTGGCCTCCGATGGTATTATATAACACATGAATACTTACATGCAGACAAAACACTCATACACAACAAATAAAAACAAACAAACAAATAAATGAAACTTTTTTAAATGCAGTGCAAAAGTTCCCCCTTAATCAAAGTTTTTCTTTTTTAAAAGATGTATTATTTGACAACTTCATAGATGTGTATGATTCATGTTGATCACATACCTTGCCTTACTTTCATCCCTCCCCATCCCCACGAACCCCTTCAGCTTCCCAAGAAGCTCCCCTTCAACTCTCCTGTCTTTCTTATGTCTGACACACTGAGTTTAATTAGTGCTGTTTGCACAAGCAGATATTTTATTGGAGTTTGGGCAATTAACCAGTGATCGCAACCACTAAAAACACTATTGCTCCACCCCAAACCCCATCAGTAGCCATTAATGAAATGAACCTGGTTTTCAAAAGCAGCCAGTGCTCTTAACCACTGAGCCACCTCTCCAGCCCTCTAACATTTCCTTTTTTTTTTAACTTACTTTATTTTATTTGTGTTTGCATATGTGCATGTGCATGCATGTGTGTGTGTGTGTGTGTGTGTGTGTGTGTGTGTGTGTGTGTAGTGCCACAGCATGTGCATGGGGTCAGAGGACAACTTTTGGGAATTGATTCTCTCCTACCACCATGGGATTCTTAGCTCATCAGGTTTGTGCAGCAAGCACTTTTACCCACTGAGTCATCTCACTGGTCTGTCCTTGTCTCTTCCTTTTTTTTTGGTCTTTTTGAAGCAGGGTCTCCCTGTAGCCCCAACTGTCCCGGAACTCACTATGTAGACCAGGCTGGCCTTGAACTCATAGAGATCCTCTGCCTCCCAAGTGCTGGGATTAAAGGTGTGGGCCACCATGCCTGGCTTAAACTTGAATTTAAGGAAGAGATGCCTTTACATTGCTCATATAAGATGATAGTCACGAAGATGAAGACCTCAACCATCAGATCCAGAATCAAATAATCGATTATGTTTCAAAAAAGTAGAGACTGCTTAATATTAATAACCATCTTTAAAAAAAATAGTTCTGGGGTTGGAGATATGGCTCAGCGGTTAAGAACACTGAATGTTCTTGCAGAAGACTTGGGTTAAATTCCCAGCACACACATGGCAGCTAACAACTGTCCATAACTCCAGTTCCAGGGGATCTGATGCCCTCTTCTGACCTCCAAAGGCATTGCATGACACAGGTGCACTTCCACACATGCAGGCAATATACACATAAAATAAAAATAATAAAATATTTTTTAAAATAGTTCTTAGAATTGGAGAATTTAGGATAAGGATTTATTTTCCTCAGAAAATCTAGTCTGAGGCCATCTGTTAAGCCATTCTAAGGTTCTAAGGCAAGACAAAAACAGTTTCATAAGAGGCTATGCAGCACCAGTAACTAAAACACTTCTCCACTGCTGTAAAATTTGATAAAGTTTCCAAAGATTAGAAATTACCCAACTAGTTTTCTATGAGGTTTAATATTTTTCTAGTTTTAAAAAGCATTTGTATCTTTTTTCTGTAGAAATATGTAAATACAGTGGTACATGTGTTCCATGAAAGGGTAACTCTGAACAGAAAAAGCTACTTTTCCTTGGAGAAATGATTTGCTTGTTTCTTAAGTGAGTCTGATGTGTTTCCTTTTGTTCACTCTTAGAGCCAGTGTTTATCAATGTGGGCAAGTTCATTTCTAAACAAGCCAGAAGTGGAGCTGGGGCTCTTAGATCACTGTACAGTATTATAATTGTATTTTTATTCCCCAAACAGAAGAATTCATAGAGTAAGTATATTTTGTTTCGATTAAAAACTTACAAGGAATTTCATATACCAACATATAAAAGCATAATAGTCGCATGCTCTATGAAGGAGATTTTCCCATATTGGTCAAAAAGTTAATCAGGCTGTAGGCTTGATTAAAATCTAAGCTATAGAGTCCGGCTATACAGACTCAGATCCTTTTGGACAAAAAAAGAGAAAGAAAGAAAAGAAAGAAGTGAAGAATAACACCAGAGGTTATTTATTGTGTGGTTGCCCAGGTTTCCATTAAGAAAAGTAACTGTTAACAGTACTTCCTCAACAATTAAGGCAGGTTGAGAAGCTTCCAATCACAAATGAAGTTGCAGGCTTAGAATGTAGACTACCTTTTACAAGTGTTTTTACTGAAAAGAATGTTTCCCTTTGCATTTGTTTAAGAATTTGTTTATTTGCTTATTTAAGAATTGAATTCTAATACTTTTTTTTTTAAGTTGCCATAAAAATTACCTTACAGAATTTAATAGCTTTTCTTCAAAATAAATTGTTTTGATTTCTGGGGAACTTAAAAAATATTCAACTTACCTTTGGGGTTAATGACTAGGAGAATGCTTAAAAATGAATGAGGAAGTTAGATGGTGTTAAACCAACTAAGGAAAGGATTCACACCAAGGAAAAGACTTCTTTGAATCGAACACAGGAATTGGAGGTCTACCATGGAGGTCCTACCAGAAACTGAGTGTTTTAAGCTAAGGGAATTCACTCCGCAGTTTACAGAGGAGAAAACCGAATACATTCCTGCCAGTTGCAATTCTTGGGGAAGATACAAAGCTCCTCCGTCGCTTGCCCTTGGTCATTTGAACTACATCGTGTGCAGACCCAGATGATTTCTCCCGCACTAACCAGGGAGCATTTGGCAATCACTGGAAGCGGTCCACGCGGCCACACCATTTTACTGCACAATTCGAGATATCCTGCAAGGCATATAGTCATTTGTTTAGGAGCACCCTTAATGAATCTAGAATTCTTAAGAATGGTGTGATGCAGGAAGCTTCCAAGATCCCTGCTGAGGAAGGGGACAGAGCGGAAGGGGGAGTCTCCACCCACCCGTCTCTTACTGGAGTCTAGCTTCCTACCTTGTCAGCCTGCGGGCTGATGGGAGTGCCATATCTGCAGTAGGTCACGAAGTGCTCACAGTTGTTCCACAGTAGGCTGTAGGAAGTCAGACCCAGCTCCTCCTCAGCCCTGCGTGCCACTTCCTCGTTGAGTAGTGCCTTCTTCTTGAGAGTCTGGTCCAGGTGATTGACTAGGATGTCTGCTCCATAAGCGAAGTCCTCTACGGTGTCCACGCGGATGCTGGCCAACTTGCAAACGACACCCGGGAGGAGACGCTTGTTGGAGACCACCTTCTGAGTGCGGCCCTTGTCGTTGGTCAGGGCCAACAGTATGTCGGGCATTAGATGGGCGACACGGTTGTCCCCCAGGTAAATGCCATAATGGGTAAAATGGGTCCGGGACACCTCCAGCACGTCGCCACGGATAAAAGAGTTGGTTTCATAGGATCTGTTCCTCCCTGTGCCTTCTTCCGGGGCGCACACGCTGAAGAGCTTGAAATTGGAGATAAGAAGCAGCTTCTCCAGGAGGAGGGACACGACCTCCAGCATCGGGTTCTTCATCCTCAGGGGACCAGAGTTCGCCCGCGCACCGACTGCCGCTGGGCTGTGCAAGGTGAACTCTCCAGACAGCGGCGCTGCAGCACAGCTCACCTGCCCGCCCCACCTCGAGGTGCAGCGGCGGCCCTGGAGGGGAGTGCAAAAGAAGGCAAGTGAGAGAAGCCTGGAGCTCGGCTCAGCACCCCGGTACTGGGGGATCGAACAGCTAATGGCTGCTGACCAAGAGGACAGTGGTACCCGCGCTGGGAAGCACTGGCTAGGTGGCACGCTTGGGGTGACGGTGGGGCGCCGGGCAGCTTGCGGCGCTTCGGGGTGCGGGCTCAGCAGTGGCTCTTATAGCAGTGTAGAGGGCGGGCTAAAAGCGGTCACGGACCAGAGAGAGCCCTGATTGGGCGCGGACGTTCTGCATGGTGACCTCCCTCTCTTCGCGGGATCCGCTTAGTACTCAAAACCTAAGGACTTTGGGCTTCTCAATGGAGGAAAGGTCGGTCCACAGCGCGAAAGGCCCTGCACCTGTCCGGACTGGGCGAGTTCCTGGAACTTGTTTGGTCGGAAGTCCCCTGAAGCAAGATTTCTTAGCGGGATGACCTCTAAAAGGATGACACCTGGGGGACCTCCGCTTACTAAAGAGTTTGCACTGACTGCCAAATGGGTGCTCGCCGAATGCCTGCGGATTCCAACCGAAACACACTCCCTGTTGCCTTAGATACACAGCGCTCCAGTGCTTCCAGGTGGCACGCGGGAGAGTGAATTGCTACCTGTGCGTAGAGTCTCCCCAGAGCCAACGATCCGAACCCCAAACGGGACGCGCTCCAAGGCGCCAGCGGCCCTTGAGCGCGCGCCTTCCAACTGCCATCGGAAGCATCACGAGGTCCCAACGTCCGCCAGGAAAGCTGGAGTTGGGTCAAATGTTCTCTGATGTCAGGATCCTAAGATGCCAGCTTGGATTCAAACACCAAACTGTTGAGGCTTTCTGTAAAGCGCCCTCGCCGCGACCCCTGGGGAGATGAAGAAAAGCTGAACGCTGGCTGGCGACGCTGCATGCCTGGCCCGCGCGCCTGTTGCAGGACCCGAGCATCCTCCGGGTGGAGGAGGGAGAGCGGCGGAGGAAGGGAGCTGGGCTCGGACCCTCCAAGCTGGGCTGAGGTGTCTCCTCTCGCAAGGAGTTCGCCCGAATGCATTATGTAAATGACTAAATTCAGCGGATAAAGGCCTCTGGGACGACCCTGCCAGGACAAGCCTGCGTGGCTCCGTAAAGCGAAGACTGACTGCTAAGATGGGATACGATGTTTGATATGAGTCTTGATTCTCCTCTCGCCGCGGGAGGGCGCTTGCTTTAGATGATGGATGCAGGGACACCTTACCCGAAAGAAAAAGGAGTCATGGGGCTCAGGCTTGGGAGCCTGGAAGGCATGTTGCCCCCAACCCTATCTGACGTCAGCAATCTGTCCTTGTCACTACACTTTTGGTCATTTCACAGACGACTGTAAATTGCACAACTGTTACAGCAAAGAGAACGCTACTCCAAACTAATCAAAATAGGAAAATATGGGAAAGGCGAAAGAGACACTGTACATGGGCATTTAAAGCTTTTATTTCCCCAGTTTGCCTCCCAGTTAAGGAAAAGCGCAGGGCTTGAGTTACTGAAACGAACCAGATCTTCTGCACATGGGTGCTTGTTAGCTTCTAAGAGTCACCAGTTCAGCCCCATGTCAGTGCACAAATCCTTAAAATCTTGGGAGTGCATAGATTATTTAAAATGTCTGGTCCACTTTATATCCATGCTCAGGTGCCAAGGATCTCAAAAAGTAACAACTGTGACTAGTAATAATCAGATATATAGAGATTAGAGACGCCTGTGCAAACATCTGTTAGTTGCATTAAAAATTAGTTTTTCTGTATGAAACATTTTAATAATGAAATGGAGATCTCTTTTAAAGGTTAAAAATCTCATTCAATTTTATGTCTTATAGGGTTTATACTGAGTACAATATTGTATAACTATTAGTTCAACTGTAAACCTAAAAATTTACAGCCAATTTTGAAAGAGATGCATCTTAGCTCTGGAAATATTTATTGACTATGTCAATGCTGTTGTAATGAAATGCTTCTTCTATTTAAAAAAAAGTCCAGTCCTCCACATCAGACTCTTGGGCTACAGCGATCTCTAGGTTCTATTCTGGTGATGTACTTAATCTAAGGCCTCTATTGTCAGGGGCCATGAGGGGATCTCAAAGAGATTCTAATTAGTGGTTTCCGCCATTGGTGGTCATTGACTGGTGAATCATAATTTAATCTACAACTGTCTGTAACCTGAGGAGCTCGCTTGAGCCAAAAGCCTGAGGGAACAGCCTCAAGGTTCCGTCGCCAGTACTTTGAGCATAAAATGTACAGAAGAGCAATCCCCTACAGACTCTGGGTAGGCTCACCACGCCAAGCTGGCCGTACCTGTGAGGTGGGCAGTGCCAAGGGATTTGCATTTCAGGTGACATAGGGCTTGTTTTTGTTTTTTTCTCTCCATAAAGACAAATCTTAGGCTGCCTTCTTCACTAGTAGAGTCACAGGAAAGGAATTGCAAGCTGAAAGAGGTGTGAGAGGATGTCAAGAACACTGGTGTTCTGCCACCTTGGAAATGAACAGGGACTGGGAAATGGCCAGTATCTATTATTTTTGCTTCTGATAAATCCCGGTTTTTAAGCAAGAGTACTATGCAATCGCTCCCAGTCCCATCTGCTGGAAATCTGGCTTCTCTCAGGCTGCCTTCTTTTGTTCCTGAAGTCTCCAGACAGCCTACATGGGGAAGGGTCACATCATAATTGCTTGGCATGGCTTGGTGTCTAACAGCACTAGCTGTTCTTACAGAGGACCTGGGTTCAGTTCCCAGCACCCACATGGTGACTAACAGCCTCTGTTAACTCCAAATCTTTTAATTCTAGTTCCAGGGGATTCAAGGCTCTCTCCTGGATTCCATCACTACACATATACTTACATGCAGACAAACACATAACACAAAAATATTGTTAAAGGCATCTGCTTCATGTTGTCTCCAAGTACCAGGTCTAAGCACTAACCTAGGCACCTTTTCATTTAATCCATGCCATAACCCCAAGCAGTTTCATATCTTTTATAGGAAGAAATTGAGACCTATGACACTGTCAAGGCGTGTGTGTGTGTGTGTGTGTGTGTGTGTGTGTGTGTGTGAATCAGGATTCTGCCACAGGTTTCATGTGCCACAGGACCATTACCACCACTGGGAAGGCCTGACCTTCCATGAGACCACCCACCATCTATTCCCTCACTCCATACCTACTATATGCCAGGCACTGTACCCTGCCTGGCAGTTCAACACAACATATACTTACATCTCACACCATGTTTTTGTCACTCTAACTTCATCTCCACATTTCTCTAAGGCCAATGGTCTGTCTTTTGGCAAGTTATTTCACTGGGAATAGTGGGAAAGGGCTGGCTGAAGTTCTGGTAATAGGAAGCCCTCACCAAGTGGCTCCTGCACTTGAATGGCCACTAGGCTTGCATCTCTCCTTAGGTACATAACTAGAATTAGGAGCTAAACCTGGGCCTTGTGTTGCAGTCTTCTTTATGTCTTTGACCTTACGTTCTTCTGACCTGAAGCCTAATAATTTTGGTTTTCTAAATGGTATAACTTTACATTCTTATCCTCCTTTAAGGTTTGCTGTTGTTGTTAGATCTTTTTTTTTTGGGGGGGGGGTAGTTAACAATTCCAAAACAGCTGGAGTCATAAATAATGGTAATTTTAGTTCTTGTTTTTCTTATGGACTGTCCATCTTCTCAAGTTAATTTTCATAAATTCTCATCCATCTCCCCCAGCACACAAGCAAAAGCCCCAACCAGCTAACTCTAAGGAAGAATAAAAGCTTTTGTCAAGTTCCTTCTGAGAGCAGAGAAAAAAGAAGGAAATACTTAGTGGAGCCTTCTAACTGTGCTACATGAAGTGTGAAGTGTTAGGTCAGTAGGAATACCTACCTCTTGGGAAGAAATTTCCCCCAATTCTTCCGGTTGTTAGCACCTAATTAGCAGGCTCACAACCACCTGTAACTCTAGCATCAGGGGATCCAACACTCTCTCTGGCCTCTGCAGGCACTAGGCATGCAGATTGCAGATGGTACATACGTAAACATGCAAGCAAAACACTTGCACACATAAAAATAAGTCAGTCTTAGCCAGGCCTGTTGGCACACACCTTTAATTCCAGCACTGGGGAGGCAGAGGCAGGCGGATCTCTGTGAGTTCAAGGTTAGCCTGGTCTACATAGTGAGTTCCAGGCCAGCTGGGGCTACAGGGAGACCCTGTCTCAAAAAGACCAAAAAAAAAAAAAAAAAAAGTCAGTCTTTTAAAAAAGCTATTACCTAGGGAGAAAAGGCATTAGCCGGAGTTTGCCAACAGCTGGTATTGGAAGGCAACAGCTTTTGATAACATATCTTCAGCTGCACAGAAATTTTTAATGATGTAAGTACACTCCTGAGTTTCCTAGTCTATACTGATAGGCTTTTGAAAAAAAAGTCTCTTTCATTGCTGACACTGGAGTGAAGAGAAGTTGGTTTGTCCTGCTATTTTTTCAGAGTTATATTGGCTCCTATCCTGCCCATTGTAACACAAATCTCGATGTAGTTCAACTAAAGCCAATTCCAACCTAAATAGCCCAGGCTCTCTTTAAGACTCAAGTTGTTACAGAAGAATGAAGCCTTGTTATTGGCAGAAAAATGAATACAACTGGGGGCCATCAGACTGCTCCAATTAAGCCAGTCTGAGAAAGACATACACATGTTTTCTCCCACTGTGGTACCTGGATCTCATGAGGACATGTAAAATGTAAAATCAAGTATGTATATTAAATGAAAGCAAAAGTGAAATTATTGAGCACCAAGAGGACTGGTGGGGGCAGGGAGAGGAGACAAGGGTCAACAGGGAAAAGGAGTGGGTGGTATGCTCAAAATACAATACATGAGAAGATTAAAAATAAATTTAAAAATAATTTAATGTTCTCTTGTATGGGCATACACGGCGTGCTTGAATTAGCCCACTTCTTCCAATCCTGGCAACCTTCTACACTGATTTGCCTTTCCTTACATTTACCTACATGCTTCTATCCCTGTTGAGACTCAGGTCTGCTGGTGGACAGATGAAATGAGTGAAGGTTAAGGCCTTAACCCTTTGATGGAGAGGAAGAGTGAGTTTAATTGTTTAGTAGTGCTTTTTTATATTCTCAAAACTACAGTTACAAGCTTGGTGTTTGTGCCAGAA